GGGGGGGGATAAAATGGTGGAAGCTGCACACGATATGATATGTCCTCCAATGATCTGTAGATCCCGATAAACAAAACGCATTCATTTTAGAGCCGACGAGCGCGATACAATCCCCAATTTTTTCGGGTAGAATATAAAAAAATGAAGTTGTGTCGGGTAAATAAATGCCAAAAAATGTCAACATTCAAAATTGCGCGGGCCAGGAAAGGGGCAACGAACTACGGTACCTAAAAGTGTCCATAGGGGAGGCCGGAGCCGAGAATTATTGCTGTCAGTCCGGCGTATGGGAATGGCAGACGTTTTGAGTAGATTTAACCCATTATCATTAAAGGAGAACTATGGGGTCAGGGCTTTTCCCCGTAGTTCTCCTCGGGGTCACGGGAGGACACAAACTAGCGTCCTCCGTCACCCTAAGCTCAGTATACCGGGAGCTACAGCTCGCCGTATACTGAGACGCCGCAGCCGGGACGGATCCCGACAATTCTGTCTGGATCCGCCCAGCTGCGTGAGTGACAGCTGGCTCTGCCTATCTAGAGGCAGAGCCAGCTGTACCCGCTCCCTCCCCCGTCCGTCCTGCCAGTCAGCGCTGGAGGATCGGAGAGGGGAGGGGGAGGGGGAATCCCTGCAGGGAGCCGTGAGTGACAGTCACGGCTCTATGCAGGAATAGATCGAGAAGTGAGCGAGCGATGGTATGCGTTCCCTCACTTCCCGATCTACTGAGCTGACCTGCGACAGTCTCATTGTCACAGGTCGGCTAGAACTATGAGGTGAGTGGAAATCACCCCTCTCATAGTTCTCCTTTAATATAAGCCACAAAAACTGATAAATCCTCCAGTGTCCCCCTCCAGTGCGTCCACCTCCAGTGCGTCCCCTCTGCACAGACTCGGCTCAGTCAGCTTCTTCTGGCACCGGCTTTGACAGATTCCGAGCCCTGAAGTGTTCAAAGCTGAGCGCTTCCAGGTTCAGTCTAACCAAACGGAGATCAGTGAATGGATGCTTGCTGATATCCCGCCGCTCTCCCTCCTGACACTCACCTTAATGGTTCCCGGCACCCAGAAGGCACAGGTAAGCCTGACATACATAGTGGGGGGGTGGGTAGGGGGGCACGTTTCCGGCTTCACAGCGGCCCAAATAAATTCTACAACATAGCCGCCAGAATAAATGTAAAGAAACTTCCAGCTGGGATTGTGTATACACGCTGGTGCTGGCCACGACAAGGGCCGTGTCCTATAATCAGGCTGTTGCCTCAGTCGGCCTCTCTTTGGGTCACATGGGGGGGCATCAGAGGGGGAGGGGCATGCTGCACAATATGGCAGAGCTTCCCAGGTTGCTAAAATATGGGCAGGAAGATGTGTGAGGGCCATAGGGATCTCCCCGCCCAGCTTATAGCATCCTGCCACTCTCTTGCTGGTGTCCTGCCGAGCTTCTGGCAACAAGTGACATCACCGGTTGCCAGGAGCTGGGCAGGATGCAGGTCAGAGCGCCCCAGGTTGCCAAGATTTTGACGGGGAGATGTGTAAGGGTCATACACATCTCAGTATCGCTGAAGGATACAGTAGGGATGTAGGGGACGGCTGAGGGCCCCAATAAATGCAACGGTGGGGGGGCTTCAGGAATCCGACACTTCTGGAAGTGTCTACGTGGAATGGAAAATGCGTTTCCTACAAAGCCAGAAATGCCGATATTTCCTCTCAAATTTTGTTCATTGACCAAATTCAACCCCCCAAAAAATACATTTTGGCTCCATTTGGGGGCTTTTCAGATTTAACCAAATAAATTGTCATCTATCTCAACCAGGGTGCCGTGGTGCCCCTCTGGGCCTACCTCAACCAGGGTGCCGTGGTGCCCCTCTGGGCCTACTCAGGGGTGGCTCAAAATTTTGTGGTGGTGGCACTGTGATGTGAAGGGGGTTCCTGATGTAAAAGGGAGGCCTCTGATGTAAAAGGGAGGGAACTTTGATGTGAAGGGGGTTCCTGATGTAAAAGGGGGGGAACTTTGATGTGAAGGGGGTTCCTGATGTAAAAGGGGGGCCTCTGATGTAAAAGGGAGGGACCTTGGGGTCCCGCCCTTTTTTCTGATGTAAAAGGGGGGCCTCTGATGTAAAAGGGAGGGAACTTTGATGTGAAGGGGGTTCCTGATGTAAAAGGGGGGCCTCTGATGTAAAAGGGGGGGAACTTTGATGTGAAGAGGGGAAACCCACTTTTTGTGTTTTTGCATGGGGTCCCGCCCTTAGAATCTCTAACATTTCAGAGCGGCGCGCCTCCAGGTTTTGCATACTTTTGAAGGGTTCCCGGGAGTAATAAAAAGGTTGAGAAATGCAGAGTAAGAGGCTAAAAGGGATACAGCGGTGTCCTCTCTACACACCCAGCCTGCTGACTGGACAATGAAAGAACAGAAAAAGACTGATGAGGTCAGCTCTCTGCTCTCTCCTCCTAAGAGCACTGCTCCCCACGAGTATGTTTTGATGCATTAGTTCCATGCCACGCTCAATGGTTCCTCACGCAGATCTCTACAAGAAATGGCGCTAATCCCTGATGTAATACCGACCACCAATATAAGGGGGGCATTGTTTCTACTGACCACCATTGTAAGGGGGGATTCTTCCTACTGACCAACAATATAAGGTGAAATCCTTCGTACTGACCACCAATGTAAGGGGGATTCTTTCTACTGATCACCAATGTAAGTGGGGCATTCTTCCTACTGACCACCAATGTAAGGGGGGGCATTCTTCCTACTGACCACCAATGTAAGGGGGGGCATTCTTCCTACTGACCAGAAATATAAGGGGGGGGCCCTTCACCGACCATCTATATGGGGGCCACTTCTTTGCTGCCTGAAATGACCTGCGGATGACCTGGGCATAGAACGGCTGCAGGCTGTGGCAGCTCGCGGTGTATCCCTCGAGTGTCGCGGAGGAATAGGTGAGGCTCCTGTGATCCGGCAACGCATGATACCGCGTTACCGAGTATTGTGCTGCAGTGCATGTGTGAGAG